CCACACACGGCAGCCGGCAGACACAGTCTGGTCTTGATTCAAGAATAAACAAATCGGACTGTAACCTACCTTTTCAAAATATTATTGTTTTTTAACACATGTCATGTATCCAGATTGTCTCTATGAAGGGAACGGCCTAAAGATACAGAGTTATTACTGCCTTGCACGTATAAATACGTAATACAAAACAGTTACAACTCACCTTAAGTCTGCTTCACAAGTATCAGAACATGCGGAAAGCCAGTTGTAAATGTAAACACGACACTTCGGTCAATGAAAAGAGGAAGGCGCCTCGCAACAAGTAGGTCATGGTTCGCAAAGGTGTAACCATAGATTTGGGAAAAACATAAACAGCGCATAAAGATGCTTTATTTTGCGTTACCTGCAACTGAACCGGTTTTTTTTTTGGTTTTTTTGTGTGTGTGTGACGAGCAAGCAAAAGGAACATTATATTTCCGTTCGCTTCTACAGGGCTAGAAAATGTTGGACAATTGTGACTTTACCCTTTGTCTGTAGAATTTGAGTTTAAGCGGACTCCATTGAATTAGGTATTATCTCCGGCCGCCTGTTTATTGAAATGGAGTATCCTACCCAGCCCCATTTGGTCCTGACAGGAAGGATCGAAGCACTCGAAGCAACCAGCCTCTTGAATTATCTATTTAATTATGTTCATGGGTGGTAAAAGATTTACTTCAACTTCAAACACAGGTATGGCATTCTTTCTTCTTTTTCTTCTTCTTCTTCGTGTGTCAGGTCTGGAGCAAATACTGACGATCATGGTACCCAATTCCTTAATGTTATCACTATTCCTTATCAGCTCAGTTTTACTTCTTGTGTTGTTTGTCATAAAGCTGTTCAGACAATCTGTGTATGTTGTTCTGTGCTTTCCTCTGTCTATAGAACATTCAGCTAATACCAAAAAACAAACATACAAACCGGTGTCTGTGGTGTAACGGTTACGCACTACACAGGAGAGACCTGAGTTCGATTTCCGAGTGGGTAGAAAGTTTTTAATCGAATATCTCGGTCTTTCTGCTAGAAGGTTGTATCCCTCTGAGCCTGAGTTGGCCCGGTGACAGGCAGGGTCGGAAGCCTCCCTCCTAAAAGGTGTCAATTTTATCGATGGTGGTCTAAAAACACTTAGAATATCT